GGAGAACACAGTCTGATAGGAAAATTATGATGGAGCCTCAGTGAACAAAAAAAAATGTCTAAATGCTTTATTTCAGCAGAAGCCATTCGAATGAGTGAGAACAGTGACAGGAGGTTGTGTTGAAGGGGGAACGGTCAGGGGTTCGGGTTCAGAGGAGGCATGTTCAGCCCTCAACCATCACCACAATATAATGGACCTTCCCACACACACTTCCACAATGTTACACTTGTATGAGCACTATAATCACATTCTGAAAAAACACAGTTTGAATGAACATTCTGAACACACTGCCAATAAATGTTCTGAAAACTCACTATAAACAATCTGAACACCCATTCTGAACGTACACTTGAAATGAACATTCTAAACACACTATGGGAAAACATTCTAAAAACACACATTCTGAACACACTATGGGCGAACATTCAAAAAACACACAAATTAATATTCTGAACACATACTTTGAACGAACAATCCTAACACACTATGAACATATTCTGAACACACTATATCTTAAATTAAAAAGTGTAATTATCCATAATCTTAGGGTAAACTAAATGCATAAATCAACGAAATTCAATTATCCATAAGCTTAGAGCACATTCAAGGCTTGTAGTCTGTGCTTGGTTTAAAAAAAAAGTCACACTACTAATGGACATCACGCATGGTCACTTCTGCAGTTAGAGCAGGTTTGATCGGTTAACACATGCACAATAAGGATGGCTTTTACACTCATAACATGTCAAAGGTGTCATCATTGACTGAAAGACACTCCGTCACTATTCAGGTGGAAGCCAAGCAATGCTTTTGGATTTTTGCACCATGCAAGCAAACACTCAACAAAAGTCAGAGACACTGCAGCAAAAGCACATTATTATATTTGGTGACACTGACTCAATGTTAAACTCAATTTCAAACCTAGAAGATGAAAACAGTTAAAAAAAACTCTTAATCACCCTTAAAATGAAAAATAGCAGATACAAAGAAACATCACATGGCAAGCAACACGTATCAGTTTCCCTTATCTAATGGGTTACCTCAGCATCTTGTCCTGGATGAAATGGCAAAACATTTTCTTACATCAAATGTAATGAGGTATACTCAGCGTGGG